CAATTGTGTACATGTTGTTCTTTTTAGAATCTATACCGGTCATATCAATATCAGACTTAAAAGAAATTATAAATGATCCTGCAAACACTTCTGAAAGAGTAGAAAAAATAAGTAAATTAAAAGAAAAGATAAATCAAATTATTGAGGATGATTGTTGGGATCTTGATGATATTTTATTAGAACATAATTATGCCGATTCTAATGTATTTGATTGTATTATATATTTTTTAGCTGGGTAATTAAATATACCTATATGTCTTAAATTATATTAATATTTGATGAACATTTTACTTAAGTTTAAATAATTTAACGATTGTTAATTATTATTATGATTATTTTTTTTTAATAGGTATATAGCAAGACGTTTAGTCAAAAGAACAAAATGTGATATGTGTATAAAAGGGTTGAAAACTCTTAACACTTCAGAAAACTTAATTGGTAAAGAAGCTGATTTAATTAATATGAAGACAAAAGGATTTCTTACTTACCCCAATAGTAATTTATATATTATAATTAAACACATAGAAGAATGCTTTGCCATACATGCCAATTCAAATGATGTTTTTGAAAAAACATTTGAAGAATTTTTCAAAAAAAATATAAATTTAAAATTTCCATGTACCATTCGTCAACACCAAATAGATATGCTAACAAATATTTTTTCTTACTACATAACTATGCGCATGAGACAATATAGTTATATGAAAAACCAAGCCAATAAAAAACTAAATAAAACAAAAAAAAAGTTGTCAAAATTGGTTAAAACATAACAAATTAATGTTTAAAATGAATAAAACTATAATATAAAACTATAAGATTTTTACCTGAAGTATTTCTCATTTCTTGTTATGGAATAAAATATAAATACCTACCCACTAGGGAAGTTACTATAAAAGTTACTATTTTTATAGTAGTTTAGTACATACGAGTATACGAATACGACCGTTGCCATAGTACGTTTTGGATTGTTGAGTTTCCACATAAATGCAGCTAGATGGCGCCAGTCGGTGGTTCCACAGCTGATTTGGAGACTCAGTTTGACGGTCTTGAAAAATGCATAATATCATAGGCCGATGTTCAACCTGTATATCTTAAATCGTGGTTGCTTCTTACTTCCACCGCCGTGTCTACTTACGTTTTTATAATCATAACGCTCTGCAACCGGTGTCCATGCCACTATTCGCCGTCGGGCAAATAACATAATATTATTGATATCAACGTTGTTAATATTGTTGCTGCTATCTGTTATGATAGCAAAATGGCGTGATGTGTTGTTGATCAGCATTATCCAATGAGGCGGCCTATTTTGGTGGCGTGATATTGTTCTAGCCGGCTGGACTTTGGAACGCCGTTTTTGTGTGAAAACGTCGGCTTACTGCAGCGACATATTTCGTCGGCGGGCGGTCAAGCATAATATTGTTATTAACGTCGTTGCGGCTATCTGTCGTACTATCAAATTGTACTATAGGCTTCGTAATATTCTCGTATTTTATATTGATTCTAAATTATTATAATATTATCGTACTCTGCGAGCACTCTTTCCGGTATTCATTCTTCGGTTCGATGCGTGCGTCTAACTTCGAGTAGGTACGCGTAGCACCGAGTGCGCACGTCTTAGTGTCTTACTGTCAGTCGTAAAAAAACCGTCCGCCGTTGACTTGTCTATCGCCGCCGTAAGTATTTACCAGTTGCTTGTTGTTCTCACCGTCGTGTTTACTTACGTTTTTATAATTATAGCGCTCCGTAAGCGGTGTCCGTGCCACATTCGCCTTCGTCCAGTGTACGTTGCCTCCGGACGTGTCCGACGCGACGCCATATTTCACCGACGTGCGACATTTGTCTCGTTCGGTAAGTACTATTGCGCGTTCCATTCACCGCCGTGACGACAAACAGCAACGGGTCGCTTCGACAAACGACGTTTTCTTCTGCAAACATTATCTGTCACATTATTATAATTTATAGGTGTTCGATGACGATACTGTTTACCTGTGGAATACGCGCCGAACGTGTAGTCGTCACCACGACGTAGACTATACCCACTGAAGATTTCCTCGTATGCGGTTCTGAAACTACTATTTTGTCACCGGTAATTTACATACAAGTAAAAATACTAATTATACATTGTCATCAGATACTGTCTTATTATACATTTATGCAGTTGTTCGGTGTATACATTATTACTTTTAGGTGTTTACAACACATCAACGTCCCAGTTCATAAATGTCTGCATAAATGCAACGACTATGATAAAATTGGTTTATCGGGTGTAGCTTTCTATATTGTTTCTCTATGTATCTATGCAATAATTTAACTATATTTTGTTGCGTTCTTGATCTGAAATCGTTATAAGACGGTGTACATAACTCATATTTGTTTTTACTTGAGTTCTTGCAGTTTGGAACTGAAGCGTTGACATATTCGACTGAGTGCCGACTAAGTCAAAAATGTTTATATTAAATATCTTTGATAATTAAATTAAAACATAAATACCTAATTTAAACCAGCTTCTGATATCCACAAAATAGTCGAAGAAGTGGATAAACTATTTCAATTTAAAATATACATTAAAAAATGTATATATCAAAAAGTCGGTCACAAATAGTCTTAAATCGGTCAAATCTAAATAAAAAATCAATGTTTTAAGAACTAGCACCAATTATACTTTTTCAACTAATAACACATAATATAAATTAAATAACAATATGTATATATATATAATTTCATTACTGTGAACAAAATTAAATGATTATTAATTAATTTATATATTAATTTACTCAAATTTATTCAGAATTAATAACTACATTTTCAACAATATTTTTACTAGAGTTAGTTGAAGTTACCAAAAAAAAAAAATCATAATTTCTATCCAGTTGAAAACTGCAACAACTCGAAATTTAACAAATTTGAGTTATGTACACCGTCTTATAGACCATCTTATGACGATTTCAGTTCAAGAACGCAATAAAATATACTTAAATTATTGACCACGAGAAAGCAATCTCAATATTATAATTTACATTACATAGGTAGATAAAAAATATAGAAAATCCATTATACCCAACAAAACAATATTTTGAGTTGTTGCAGTCATGAACTGGATAGTCGAATTATACCTACCTATTAATAATATAAATTTACAATCTATTACTTTAATGTTGAAAATATATAGATATCAGTGATATTCATTCATTTATAAAACTCATTTTTAGCTTACTATATGTATATAAATAATAATATATAATATTAGTAAATAAATAAAAATAAAAAAATACATTTAAAGTATTCTAAGTAGGTATGTTAATTTTGTTGTAATATAAAGTTTCGTCGAAATCAAATAGAAGTTTGTTAAATAGAGGTTTAGGTACCACTATTTGAGCCCACAATAAGTCATAAGTAGTACTTACCGTTTAATTGTATTAAACATATTATATTCAATGTTAAGTTTGTGGTTTAAAACGTAGAAATAAAAAAAAACTATTATTAAAGACTAAACTAGTAAACTATAGGGAAATACTTAGCTACTTAATACACTTTTTCAAAGTGACCTAGCATAGACGTACAAAGGTCCAGTGACTAAGATATGTAATATGTCTATCTATAAGTGTCTGGTTATAATTAATATTGAGTATAAATAATAATACTAGCAGTGGCGGCTATCATAGCAGTGTTATAAAATAGCTACTCTCAGTAACAATGAAACGCCAATAATAATTACTAATAATTAGTAACGACACAAAATATTGTTTAATGCGTAGGCACTGTGTATCTCTGCAGAATGTAGACAGTAATTAAAATGTAGTTTGATGAAATACCATAAAAATATAAAGAGAAATGTGGAGTTATAAAATTATACACGGTATTATAAATGAGGTTTAATTTGAATAACACGCTTTTAAATTTTGTACTACACACTTCAATTTTTGTACCACACACAGTTTTAGTGACTGGGTTACAGTAGATATCGAGTTGTCACTGTAATTGTGTTGAATTTACAAAAAAAAATAGTTTTGTATTTTTCCAATCACCCTGTATTCTGTGGAACACGCTGTATATAGCATAGTGTATACAATAATTAGTGTTGGGAATGGTATTTATAACATTTTATTTTATTATATCAAGTTACAACGGAATCATAATAGTGTGGTAAACTTTTCTTATCGGCAATTAACGATGTTGTAATTTCTGGGCAAAAATTATTAATATGATAATACCCAAACTAAAAATAAACGAATTTTATGTTTTGATTCTTGAGAACGACCCTGATGTTTTATGAAATTTAAATTGCCAATGAACGAACCCAAAATGTTCAAGATCGTAATAAATAAGAACTTAGTTCCCGTTCAAGTTCATTTATTGAAAATTGAACTCCTCGTTCATGTCAAGTTCACACAATATGAACGCGTTCTTTCCCATCACTGGTATTGACTATATTAAATTAACTACGAGAAAAACACTCAAAGTTAAAAATCGAGGCATTTTAATTTTATTATAATCCAAAAAGTGAGAAAAGCCTCAAAAATTAAAATACAAATAAACTACAGATATAAATGTAAAATCAATAAGTTCTTCGTTACAGTACATCATATTAACTTGCAAACATATGTTAATTAAAAATTTTCAAATATTATGCTTGCTACCTCTCAGAGGTAAATATTTGATTTTTATTACACTACCATGATAAAATAGTTCTCCAGGAGTCTATATTTAAAATGTATAATTATTAATTACGAATTTAGAAAACAAAAAGTTCCACTAATTTTGATTGATTTATAACAATATCTGTACTAATTTAATTTGTGGTTTTGTAGGTGCCAACGACTTACGTTTTCTATTATCTCATCAACCAATTCCCTCGTAATCTTGTTGCACCGAGAATTCTACATGTATGCGTCTAGTTATAATTTTGACGTTGATTTGTATTATATATTATTATTTTTATTTACAGTACGCGCAACGGCCACTGTTTACTGGCCGTGAATTGTTTGGAACATACATCGACGATGGCAGCTAACAACGATAGAACATATATCATACCCAGTCTTTTGAAGTCAGCTTACCAAGCATGTATCAAGATCCACCGGGACAAGTACGACGATTTGCCAGTTCCAGATGTCGACTTGCAATCTTGTTGCGAGTCCATTTACCGAATTATAAGACTGACCACGGAGAGTGGGAATTTTGACTCATTCGGCGATAGGCGGTTCATGTATGATAAAGTGCAGAATTATGCTTATGACGAGTCATTGAAAAACATATGTGAAAAGGCTGCATCTTTCGGACACATTGATTGTCTGATGTTGGCTCGCGAGATTGGCGTTCCCTGGTCCGATTCGGACGAGCGCGGTCAATCGGCGTGCACTCAGGCTGCGGGCTCCGGCAACCTAGAGTGTCTTATTTATGCCCATGAAAACGGAAGTGATTGGGATGAAAGAACGTGTTCTGATGCTGCGATGAATGGAAGCCTGGCATGTCTCAAATATGCTCATGAACAAGGGTGCCCGTGGGATGTGTCTACGTGTCGTAACGCTGTGACAATGGGAGATCTTAACTGCCTCCGTTATGCTCGGGAGAATGGATGTCCATGGGAAGAAGAAACAATATGTGCTCGTGCTGCATTTAGTGGACGCCTTGAGTGTTTGAAGTATTTACACGAAAGTGGATGTCCATGGGACAGGAGTACGTGTTATGCTGCTGCAAAAAATGGATATCTATATTGTCTGATCTATGCTCATAGAAACAGATGCCCGTGGGATAAACGGACTTGTACTGCGGCTGCGAGTGGTGGATTTCTGGAATGTCTCAGATACGCGCATGAAAATGGGTGCCCGTGGGATGATGAAACATGTTATGAAGCTGCAATAAATGGACATTTGGCTTGTCTGCAGTATGCAGAAGAAAATGGTTGCCCAAATCTGATGCTCAGAATGAATTGGTGAATGACCAAACCCAAGTGTATAATTTTATTACAGTGAAAATTCCATACAACAAACTTTTAATTGATAAAATTGTCTATTAAATGAAATATTTTTGAAAACCAAACCAAATTAGAACCGCATTTATTTTGTTTTATTTAACTAAATTCTTAATAATACAATTTTTTTTTGTTTTTGCTTATGTGACTTCGTAATATAAAAAACCACTGTATAATTAATCCCTATACTAATACACTCCTCTAAACTCCTTGTAAAAAACGTTGAATAAAAAAAAAAAAAAACTGCTCTTAATGGCGTGATATAATTTTCATTCATCTAATTGAATACTGATCACGACATTTAAAGCCATTTTTTTTATTCAGAGTTTTTAGGTTTGTTTTTGTTGGGTTATCACTAATTTTTTGTTGAATGTAACATTTTTTACTTTCAGAAACATACTGGTTTTACAATGATAATTTTTCTTTTTTAATTTTTTATACATTTATAAATAGTTGCAGATTATATAAGTAATAGTTATATAAGTAATAGTAATAGTTAGTGATGTAAATTTGAGTAGATAGGTTATGTAGCTATGAGCGCAGTCGGTTTTTTTTACAATCAAAAAATCACCTTAAAATTAGCTTATTTCAACATTTTTACATCAAATTTTGATTTTTTTACATCGAATTTTGAGTGATTTTTTGTATACAATTTATATACAAATACAATGATATTTCACATATTTTATATAAAATTACATACATTTTAGAAAACATTTAGAAACATTAGAAAAATACAGAATTTAGAAATATTCCAAGAAAATTATTCAAACAATTTATATATAATATTTTAAACATTACAGCCAAGCAGCTTCCGCCATATATTTGCTTATCGTTATAGAAAATATAATATATATGACAAATATTCCAATACGTTTTCATAGTAAATATGATGTCATTTATAATATTCTCAATCAAGAGTAATGAGCACACCCATGCCCCTAAAGCAGAATACAGCCAATGAGAGCCGATTGTATGAACACACCTATCACCCCAGAAACTACTAGAGATAATTTAGTTAATAAATACAGGCCACGCAGTGTAATTTTTGTCATTCGCAGTATGCCTATAAACGGTTAACACAGTTAACACCTGTAAAATCTGTATTTCTCCCTGAAATTTGTCATACAATAGCGAATTGACGCTAAATCACGACAGACGTAGGGGAGTGTTACACTAAACGACCAACTCCATCGCGGAATTTATAGCAAGTATGTAAATATATTTTTATCGAAATATTTTAATAAACAAAATAATTATAATTCTATTAAGACAACTTTGTCGAAAACAGTTTGTAATCCTTGGATTACAAAAGGAATTATTGCTTCTATAAAAATACGTAATAAATTAATTAGAAAAAAACAATCTCTAGGAGTGTTTTACAAATCAAAAATTAGGCATTATATCAAAATTTTACGTGAAAATTACTTTATAAAACAAATTAATATTATTCACAAAAAAAATCTTATAATACAATGGGAGTCGCTCTGCAATTATTTAAAAATTAATAAAAAGAAAACTGTTATCGACATTGATTGTAATACAGTCGATTCCGCTTTATTGGGACACATCGGTTGGGTGTTATTTTGTCCCAATAAAGCGGTTGTCCCAATAATCCGAAATACAAAAACGAATATATAAATTTGTTGAAAAACTGATTTGTTTTATATATTTTTATTATTACAAATTACAAACAATGTATTATAGAAATTATTTGATAGTACAAAAAGAAAAACATGATATAACCTAATTATTTATAAAAATACATACATATAAAGTACAAATAAATATTTTTTATTTTTTTATTATGTATTTTATCTTATTTAAAAAAAACTGTTGATTTCGATACTCCTAAAATTTCCGAAAGAGTATTACATATGTATATTAAATAATCATTATGTAAATATAGGTCCTAATCTTGCTCCTAAAATACCTTCTGTGGAAGCCAAATTAAAAACTAAATGCAATTATTCTGTTAATTCTATTTTTTTCGAATCAATTACTCCAGATGAAATAATACTCAAAATTAATTCACTCAAAAATAATATAGCTCCAGGCTCCGATAAAATTAGTGTAGAATTATTAAAATCCAAACAAAAATCTATATCTGTTCTTTTATCGTGTATGTTTAATTTATTTGTTGAAAATAATTATTTTCCGAGTGAATTTAAACACAGATATTGTTTCTATATATAACAATGTTGGAAGTATGTTAGATCCGAATAATTATCGAACAATATCCTTAATATCTAATACAGCTAAAATCTTTGAAAATTTATAAAAGAATAACAAATTTCTTAAATAAAAATAATTTACTATCTATCTCACAATTTGGTTTTCGAGAAAAAAAGAGCACAGAAGACACAATATCTAAATTAATTTCACATATTAAAACTGACAAAAAATATAAGCTTGTTGTTTTCTTGGATCCAAAAAAAGCTTTTGATACCTACTGTTGATCATAATTTATTGTTATTAAAATTGGAAAATATAGGTATAAGAGGAGTTACTACAAATTACTTAAATCTTATCTGGAAAAACGAACATGTTGCACAAAATTAGGTAAAACAAATACTGCCTTAGTGGTAGATGCAGATAACCTGAATGATCTGTATCTAAAAGCAAATAACGATTTTCTTAAAATTAAAAACTGGTTAATGGAAAATAAATTATCTCTCAATATCTCCAAAACGCAATTTATAGATTTTTCGGAAAAAATAGACAAAAACAACAATTTAACAATTCATAATTACCATTGTAAAAATACTTTTAATATTCCAAATATTTGTAATTGTCAGAATCTCGAATTGGTTGAAGAATATAAATATTTAGGTGTTATAATTGATCGTGAACTTACTTGGAAAATTCAATTAGAAAAAATAATTTCTAAAATTAATAAATCATTACCAGTTTTTAATGTTGCAATAGAATCAAGTTTTAAAAAATCTGTCTACTCTGCCTTAGTCCAATCTCATTTACAATATTCTATAACTATTTCGGGAGATTCCTATAATTTAAAACAACTCCACAATTTACAAAACTCTATTACTTCCAAATTTAACATAAAAAATGTTCCGTCCATGCAAGAGCTTTTCGATTTAAAAATTTTCTCAATTGTAAATATTTCTTTTAAACAATTTGTCTATAACTTATTTCTATAAACATCAATTATTGAAGATAATCTTACTCTATCATTTACTTCAAATTTCGGTTTGGAATTACAAATATCATAATTAAATAAACAGTGGAAAGCAGTTCTTTCTCGTTCTTCTTACTTACATCAGCAGGTTTCATTTTTATTGTTCTATGGTATGTATTATTATATGTCTTAATAATCCTTGGCAATTCAGTAATCCATACATTATTTAAATAAAGTACTTTTTTTCAACTTATCACCTAATGTTCTGTTAGAACGTTCAACCATCATAGATGCTTTTTTATCGGTACCTGTACTATACATCGTAATGTTATATTTGTTTAGTAATTGTTTTAAATCTTTATTATAAAATTCTTTACCTTTATCTACATGTAATTTTTTCGGTACATTATGTTTAAATATTTGTGAAAATGCTTCAGATACTTCCAATCCACTTTTTGTTTTCAAAGCCACAGAATAAACTCTTTTAAAAAATTTTTATATAATTTTCAAAGACTGAAAAGAATAAACAAAGTATGTTACCTTTATTATTTATTTTTAATATTATACTAATAGTTATTATTATATTTTCAAAGGCTGAAAACTGAAAAGCAATAATTTATATTATTTACTAAATAATGGTATATGGTAAATAGTTAATACTTAATATTTAATACTAATTTTTAATTTGGTTTTTTTTAATTTACAACTTTTTATAATAAAATTAATAAAATAAATGCTATAAAATGGTTATTAAAAATTTTAATTTATAATACCTTTTTGGACAAATTTTAAACTTTTAAAGCTTAAACTTTTTCCCTTTCTGCTAGAAATTTCTTAAGAAAATAAACACCACAGGTAGTTTCACTGATTGCATAAAATCATAAAATATAAATTAATTCGAAATATGAATATAATATATGGTCCAAAAAAATATACGATTTTAAGAAAATTTAAGAAAATGTAATTCCAATTTTATTATAGTAATGAGCACTGTAACATTATTAAATTTAACACTAGGTAACAAGTATAGTAACTTAATTACTTTAACCAACACTGCAATATACTGCTTGCGAAATTTTCTAAGCCAGGTTATAAGATACGCCTCAAGGATAAATCAATGATACTAATATACATTATCATATAGGTAATAAAATACATGATAAATTCCAATAAGGAAACACGAACCAATAAAAGGTATTATAATAACTGATGAGAACACATATAATTATTAAATTCTAATTTAAAATAAACCAACATGATTGTTATTACATATATTTATAAATCAAAAAATAAAAAGACCAAAGTAGTAGCTATTGAAAGAATGCTAGTATGTTGTTTGTTAAAGTGGCTAATAATTAGGTACAATTAAATAACAATTATTTGTATTACATAATAATATTATATTCACAAAATGATTTAATCATCAATGGACATTGGACAGCCTTTAAAACATAACTAATTAGTAAACAACAAAATATGATGTTGACTTTTTAAAGAAAATTAAAAATTACAGTTTAGGGCATTTCCACATCCCCCACAAAAATCTAAATTGAAAAAAAAGACGGATTCTGAATAAAAAAACAGTTAGATAAAAAACATAATTTATTAAAAAATCTAAATTTAATAAAAGAGCCTTGTTGATTAAATTGCTGTTTTTCTTTATCCAAATTTGTTTAAAATCAACAAGACTTTAAAAAAACCAAATCTCTACAAATGAAAAAATTTGACTACAAACCAATACAAATCGGCTACAAACGAATATTAAAAAAAAAAAAATGAAAATTCCAATTTAAGGCATTTCCCCAGCCCCCCCCCCCCCTAAAAACTATGAAAAAAATTGAACCATAAAAAAAATTACAATAACTGACTGAAAAATTAATGTATATTTAAAATAAAAAAAAACAAAATAATTAAAACAATAAAAAATATAATTGACACATAAAAATTATAAAAAAAATTATAATTTAACCAATTTTAATAATTTTTGACATTTACATTTATTTCGAATTTTTAATAAATTATGGTTTTTATTTAACTGTTTTTTTTTATTCAAATCCGTTTTTCTATTCAATTTCGAATTTTTTTATCTTATCCGGATTTTTTATTCAAAATGGCTTTTTAACCGATTAATATTTTTTATTCAATAAATCTAATAAGATTTTTATTCAACTTTCCATTTTTTTTTATCCAATAAGCTCAAATAAAATTCTTGTTGAATAAAATCTGAATTTGGACAAAAGAAATTGGATACAAAAAAGTTGAAAGTAGAATAAAAATCTAATGGGACTTGTCGATTAAAAAATCTTAAAAAATAACGAATTAGATAAAAAGATCTGAAAAAGAGGTAAAAAAGAGCCTTGTTAATTAAATTGCTGGTTTTTATCCAAATTTGTTTTATAATCAACAAGACTTTTAATTAAATTTTTTTTTATTAAAAATGGCTACAAACGAATGGTAAAAAAAAAAATAAAATTCCAATTTAGGGCATTTTCCCTGCTCCCCCACCAATATTTATTTTTTTAAAAAAACCAAATCTCTACAAACGAAAAAAAATTGATTACAAACCAATACAAACCGGCTGCAAACGAATAGTAAAAAAATAAAATGAAAATTCCAATTTAGGGCATTTTCCCTGCTCCCCCACCAATATTTTTTAAAAAAAAAAAACAAAATCTCTACAAACGAAAAAAATTGATTACAAACCAATACAAACCGGCTACAAACGAATGGTAAAAAAAAAAAATGAAAATTCGAAATTGGGGGGACTGGGGAAATGTACCTGTGCTAAACATAGACACAGAATATTCAACATAGTATGTTGAAAATGTATTATATATATTTATATGGGACACAAACACAAGAGTTCATAACATGAAATTAGATAAAACACTCAATGTTATTCAACATTATACTAATATATGATACGTCAATTTTCAAATGAAAGTATACAATAGTAATATAGCGTGCTTATAATAACATAATTTAGATAAAGTAATATAAGTGTATAAAATATCAAAAATAACATAGATTTAAGTTATACCTACTTTTAATTTAATATTGAGAATCTTAATTAAATTATAGGTACCTACTATTTTTATGAAAGTAAATCTGTTAATATTAGTGGTGTACTTATACTTGTTTTATAATCATATTCCGGAGAGCTAAGTGATTCATAACCGATATCTTCATACTGGTCGAGACAGTCCATGGCATCATCTTCATGGCAAATTTCAAGAATTTGTTCGTCATAAGTTGTAGTTACTTCTTCAACAGCTTCTTCTATGATAATAAAACTTTCCAAAGAGTTACTTTCGTCTTCAGAATGTTCTTCAACTTTAGATTTAACAACCACATTAGGCACCAAAAAGTGCATTTCTCCAGTTGGAATCTTAACTGTATTTGCATCTGTAATTGGGTCTATGTCTGTGTTTAGCATGGATAGTGGAACATCTTCTACTTTTATGTCTGCATTGGGTAAATCAATATTTTGACCGGGTTCCATGATTTCTGATGTGCTCCCCACCATTTCACCAGGACAACATTCATTAAGGAAATTCTGCAAAACAATTTTGAAATATAAATAATGCACATTGCACTTGCAACAATAATTTGAATTAAATAATACTTACTTCGCCGAGTAGTTCATCAAAAATGTTCTCCAAACGTTTTGATACATTGTTGTCAAGCCAGTCCATATCTTCATCGTCGTCTGGAAGTTTGAGATCAGGTAGGACGGAATGGTCAGTAATAGGAAAAGAATCTGACAACAGTTCATGAAGAGCATCAAACAGGATGTACGATTCAGTTTGCCCTTCTGCAGAGGGTGTCTATTGGACAAGGCAGGTCCATTAATCGAAATCTTGTTATTAACTGCTGTCGTACAGAATTCTGTAACAATTGATTTTGGCATTGATGACTCGTTGGAAAGTTGTTCTCGTAATCTTTCATTTTCGGTGATCAACTGTTCTTGGTTGGCTCGTAAAGTTTCTATTTCTTCTTTTAAATTAACGTTCTGAAAAACAAAAATTTTAATTATTTGTAAAGTATTAAAAATACACATACTGTAATTAAATATTCTTAATTTAAACAAAGCTATTAGTAAAATTGATAATATTGAAAACATAATAGAATGAGGTGCTTAAATATGGATATGTTCACATATATATACTATTCTTTGTTTTCAGATCAGAAAATCAACTAGATATTAAGTATAAAGTATATAGACAGAGTTAATTCTTAGATAGACATAGAATAACAATTCATTAATATTCCATAAACTAAAAGGTTAACATTTATGCATTTAAATGCATTCAATGATCATGTAAAAAAACTTACACACCTCTTTTCTTAAACCATGAACCATTCCTGACAAAACATTGAATTGTGCTTTCTTTTTATCTCTAGATAACTGTGCTGCTTATTAAATTTAATAATTTTAACTACTTTTTTTATAATACATGCTTATACATTTTAAAATTAACAATAAATAATATCTTATATTTGGTAAGATCGTATAATGATAGATTTGATATTGTGAAAAATAACTTTTGGGAAAAATGGTATTGTGAAAAAGAACTTTTGGGAAAAATGGTATTGAGAAAAAGAACTTTTGGGAAAAAAAAAAATGTGAAAAACAGATTGGGAATAGTGTCTTCCTACCGTGCTGCTTCTCTGTTTCGTAATTTTCTGTAAAAAAAATTTGTATTTTATTATTAACTAGCTGATCCCGTGCACTTCGTCGCCCGTTAAATGGATCAACTCAATACTACCTACTCAAACTTTGTTCAATTCATTAACGTGTATGGTGTTCAAAATTTATCTTATCTTTCCCGTTGCCCTGAATAAAAATTCTGAATCGCGGCAGTACATTATCAGGTAGGCAATCTACCTGCGGTAGATCGCGGACCCCGTGCTGTTTGTACGGAAGTGTATGATTTAACTCTAAAGTATCAAAGTTATACCAAGTTTATTTTGATGTAATACTGTGGATTAATATAATAAATTTGGTTGCTCGTAAAAAATCGCAACTCTTAAAAAAATTATGATTGTTGAACTCCTTTTGGGTGTAATTTTCTGCGGTAAGTGCAACTCTGCCACCCTGGTAAGCATTGTTCAATAATTCGATTTGATGCAAGCTTGTACCTGATCTGCCCGAATAACCAATGGCAACCAATAAATAAATGCTAATTTCTAATGTAGACTGTAACCAATGGCAACTATAAATAAATAAAAATAAAATTTCCAATTTCTATCGTGAATCTCAATGTCCCTGTTTCAGCACCTATTTAAAATGCGAATTTTGGCAAATCCTTTCTTAGCGCACGTCTATATTATAATAGCTATCTGTATGCCAAATTTCAGCCAGATCCGTCCAATGGTTTGAGCTGTGCGTTGATAGCAGTCAATCAGCTTACTGTTTTTTATATACAGATATGGTTGCCATGGTAATATGGACACACACACACACACACACACACACACACACTGACATACATTCATTTTTATATATATAGATTGATATGAAATCTTGGTAACCTTAGTAACCATGGCAACCTTGGTAACCATGGTAACATGGACACACAGACACACAGACATACATTCATTTTTATATATATAGATAAATAGATATGTAAATCAATAAATTAATGTATGGATTTACCTATAATATGCTAGATATGGATTTAAAATTAATTGGAGCGATGAATAATATTTTGATTTATATTAATAGGCTCTAACTAACTATTAAAATATTGATGAATAGAAGAATATTAATTAGTAAATAATTACTAATTTTTATTCATATTCATCATAGTTATTAGTACTTATTACCGAAATTATTACTTAATATTATCTATATTATTATGTACCTATCATCCAACCATGATTCAAAAGTAGTTAGTTTAAAAAATATTCAATTTGTATTAATGAACAATAGCAATACTGATAGTCCCATTATGAAAATACTATTTTGGATTGAAAAATAATTCATTAAATTATTAATAATTTAAAAATATTTTAACTTCAAGAATATTACACATAATATACCACAGCCTATAATTATCAAACAACTATCAAGCTTAGATATTATAAAAGGTAGGTACATAATTTGTATTTTGAAAAAATAATGAAAAATTACTTAGTATAAAAATCATAAACCTAAACTTTTTAATTTTATGTTTATTATTTATAATAGATTACAATGTAATATACCTATTAATTATATTATACTATTAGTATCTACCTATATATATAGTTATACTTATGATACCATTAAATATTAATATTTCAAATATATATTATTATGATGTTCCTCCTGACGAAAGTTTAGTTAATGGTAGGCTGCTCTCCACAAAATACCTCATGTTCTACGTCCTAGTAATTGTGAACTTTTTATTTTCCTTCTATGCTGATTGAATAATTAATTGTCTGACAACCTTGAATGTATATTTCTCTGCTTCGCATTTACTCATTGTGCCAATAAGTACAGATTGTAAATTTATTTCAAAAAAAAAAAAAAAAATATATATATAATTATAGTCCTTAAAAGAATCAAGTTCAAGTTTTGATTGAAGATGGGTGTTGAGCAACAGTGTGTACTTAACTGAAATATTTGCAGGACATGCTTGAAAATGTATTTAGTTATAATGGTCAACTAGTTAAGATGGTAAAATTAAGAAAGACAAATAACAAAATAAATTGTAGAAATACATTGATATGTACAATCACATGCAATAGTATAAGAAAACATTTAGGGACCTCCATTTTTTTTTTTTTTTTACTTAACTATTTTTTACAATTTGTTACTGTATAATAAAATGAACAACAATTGAGTATGATAACTATGGACAGAAATTACGTGTTTTCATGAAACTTAAGGGCATTTTTACATGAGTTTAACATTTATTAATTAATTATAAGTAAAGACCGGATTTAATTGCATTAAAAATAGGTGAAAATCGCAATAAAAATATATCAAAATTGCAATATAAATAATATGTTAAAATTGTGCTGAATGAACTAGAATTCTAGCAATATCCGTGAAATCCGGTCTTTAACAAAATTATGAGCCACTAAGGTAAGATAAATATTATTATAGATTGTAGCAATTAGATGCCTATGCCCTATATATATTATATACATAATATGAGATAAATGTATATAAATAAAATATATTGTTCAAAGGTCTAATGTTCGTTAATTTTTTTGTTTGTTGGGTTTTTTACTGGGTTTTAATAGGATGGACTTAGTACTTTGAACCCTGATTTTATCACGCAGTTCAATGATTTGAACAAAAAATATATTATCAAAGATATTAAACTCAATAATAATTAATAGCTAAAAACTAATAATATAATTTACTATCTAGATTATGTACCTATATGCTTAGTATACCCAGACAGAAAATTTGAGATTTAAATTTAGTTCAAATATTGTTGTTAAATTTAGAAAAATAAACTTAACTTCTAGTTCTTGTTTTAACATTTAATTATCTTTAGTTGTATAATATGTTTTACTTTTTATAGTCTTAAATTGTCTTAATTAAATGATAAAGTTCATTATTTATGTTAGGTACCTATTTATATATTTAATATTTTAAGAGAAATTGAACTACCACTCTTATTTATTTTATAAAAAAAATATATAGTTATAAATTGATAAATGTTATTGTATAAATATTTTTACTGCAGAGTTTGTGTATTTTTTCATTTCTGAAAAAAAAAACAAAAATTTGTTTTTTCACAAATTGTGGGATATTTAAAACGCTGGATAAAACGGTTTAAAACATGTTAAAACTAAAGCAATTTGTTCTATTTAAAACATCGTTTTGAACAACAACAACAAAAAAGGTGGACAAAAGGATGTTGCTACTTGCTTTGCGTCAGGTTACAATTGGGTCACTGTAATGGATTGAGTTAAATTTGAATTCAATGATATAATATCATTGTACAAAAAAAACAATTCTGAGCATAGTATGACAACCTATGATATAACTAAGACGTATATTTGATGACATAGTATTGTGAATATAGTAATTAAAATTTATAAATAACCTATGTACGTGGAACATTGTTTAAATTTTCAATCCTTAGCTATAAAATTTGAAAATTTCTTAATTTTTTACTACGAAATAATTATTAAATTTTCAATTTGATATATACCATTGTCCAAATTCGAACTTTATATGCTTATAAAAAAAATGTTTCCTTTGTATGTTTAATATTTTCCAACTGCTATTGTAGTTAACAATATACCAGGTGCCTCATATTAAATTTTCACGCTTTTTTACCCAACAAATAAAATGTTATTCATATTTAATGAAAAAAAAACTAAAAAAATTGGAAACTGGAAACTTAAAATGTCCGCAAACACCTTAAAACGAGTCAAAATATTTTCAACATTTTATACTGTATAGAAAATGAAAATAAAATATTCAGTGAAATTTTCATGTATTTACAGTTATTCGTTTTTCAATTACAATAAAATAACAAAATCGCTACATGAGTAGGTAATTTAGTAAATATTCAAACTTGTAAAAATTTCAAACGCTCATAAAAAATTAATTTGTCTTTCCGGTAGATTTTTTTTATTCATAAAATTATATAAAATTATTAGGAATCCTGTATTAATTTTCAAATTTTAGATTTAAAAATGAAATTTTTTATTAATTTCTAACACAAAATAATTTGCACTTTTTGATGATTTTTAGGTATTTTGTCAAAATTCTAACTTTAAATGATTTTTAAAATAAAAATGTTATTGTATTTTTAATATTTTTTAACTACCATTGTGACAATGTACTAGAAGATTTGTATTAAGTGCTCGATCAGACTATGCGTTTTGTCGGCGACCGATAAAACGATCACGACCGAACCGCAATCGGCGCGACCGTTCAGACTAGGCGTTTTATCGACGGCCGAGTACCTATAAAAGCAAGATTAAAAAGCGCGGGAATCGTTGTTAATTTGAAATTTAATATAAATAGTAAACTAATTTTTGATTTCAACGAAATGTATCTAATATTATAAGTTATATAATCACAAAAATCAAACTATCCAACATGTTGTTCGGCGATTCAGTCTGTTTGGTGCAACAAACGTGTTCACTTGTACTTTTTAAAGGATATTATTATAATTATTAATATTACTATATTGTATTTTGTACTATTTAATAATTAAATCAATCGTGTTTTTATAATTTACATTATTTAAGAAAAATATTTACATCAGGTAAGTGTTTATAAATTCAAAATATAATCGATTTAATTTATGAGTACAGATACAAAATATTTTAATTGGAATTATCACTATACATAGAAATGAGCTCTCTTCTGGAAATAATTTGTATGTTTGAAGCTGCTGGTGAACTTGAAGAACCAGCACATAAGCACAGAAGGTATTGGGTTCATCCTATACATAGTAGTAGAGAACACGACATGCGATTTCAAGTATTTTATAATACTTTAAAAAAATATCCTGAGAAATTTTTTGACTATTATCGTATGTCAATTTTCTCGTTTGAAGAACTACTCGAAAAGGTCCGACCATATTTAACGAAGGAAATTACGCACCTTCGAAATCCTATAAGTCCGGAAGAAAGGTTGACTGTGACTTTGAGGTAAGATTTTAGTTTAATTTTTATAATTTATCTATACCTATAACACGTATAATAATATGTTATCACTAAAACACATCACATAATATTATTTATTTAGTATTATAGTAGCTGGTATAATAAGTAACTTGTAAATTTCTACTTTTGACACCACAAAATAGAAACTAGATTCAATTTATTAATTACAAACTACCAAAACCCTCCTTCAAAATGTATGTTCGTAGCATTTTTTCTAATAAAAAAAAAAAATAGGTATTTTCAGAAAATGTTATTTTTTAAACATCAGTTAAACACTCAGTTGTAAAACCAATACATCTTTGCTTTGCTCGGTGACGATTTACACCCAAACCGCTAATATAATAATGGACAGTGATACTTATTACGATGTAGGTACTTATATCAAAACATTTATTTGAAGTAAAAATGAATTATTTATTTTAAATATCACAAGAAAATTGCTAAGTACAATATCTTTAAATTTATATTAAATAATAAAAAAATATAATACAAAATGTTTATTGCTTCTGGTTTGATGGTGATGGTTGTGACGATGACGTAGGCGTGGGTGTGTATTGGACAGTGTGATCTAAATAAGAGGACGATGAATTATGAGGATAATTAGGTTGTGTATAAGTTGAATATGAGTATGGTTGAGCATTTAAGTATGGCCTGGAATTATATTGCAAGTTAGAAGATGTATTTTGGTTCATTGTATAATTATTAAAATTTAAAGGAGCAGCTGGAATGGGATACTGAAGTTGTGGTTCATGTAGTACGGGTTTATTTGGATTTTTTATAATATGTTTTAAATATTGAAGGCTGTTAAGGTGAAATTCTAATTTCTGCTCCTCATTTAATAACTTCATGTAGGGAAGAAACGACATAACAATGTTCATGTCTGGATTTGATGTCATTTCTTCATTTTTTTTTAGGTGTTCAAGTAAATTACTTTGAAATGGAGTAATTGGATTTTTCTTGTTTTTTTTTAAGTTTGATGTGGACTAATAAAAGTAGATGAAACGTTAGCTGGTGTCTCAGAGGTATCATCATCCATATCATTTAAACTTTGACGTTCTGTATCGTCTTCAACATTTTCAAAATTATCAGTTGTTCTAAAAATAAAATATAAATGTATGTTTAAAATTATTGATTAAATTAATAATAATGATTGTTTGATTTTCATAACTAATATAGAAGCATAAATAAAATTTGATAATATATAATAGGAACATAACATGAAATGGCGTGAGGAGGGAGGCCTACCAATGTGGATACCTTCTAACTTAGGGGAGTCATATAATTAAAAACATTTAATATTATCCAATAATTGTAAATGAGCAATTAAAAAAAAAAAAATAAAACTAATAAATTCACTTACTTCCTTTTGTTAGTAGTCGTATTTAAAAATGACATAATTTGTGCGTATGCATAAGGTTTTTTTTTGTACCTTCCGATCCACTTCTAACAATTTTCTCTTCCGAAATATACTTTAAATATGCATCACGAACATGTTTCCATTTTTTATTCTTCAACTCTTTTACTAAATTAAATATAATGTTTAGAAATTAAGGTAATTATATTTTATATTACGTATTAACACTATTATAAATTATAATATGATTTTTAGATTCTGAGCGTAGCGATGAATGTAGGTATTGATTTTACAAAGATGTGTTTTTTTATTTTTGTGTTTTATTTTTGAAGACTATTTCTTATACCTAGGTGGATTAAAAATTCTCAGTTCTTTTCAAAATAATCGAAAAAAAACTATGAATATTTTTTTAAAATGTTAATATTATTATTAAAATATATTAAACAATATATATATTATATACATAAATATAAATAAAATATAATATTTATAAATATAATATATTAATATATAAAACTGTCAGGTTACCAAAAAATTAGGTTGTCTTCGCTCAGAATCGTTTTTTATCATAATAATGAATCTTAATACAACATTCCAATAATTACTGCGTGATGTCAGTGGCGTATTTACGGAGGGGGGATCAACCCTCTCCCCCATGGACTGTATTTATTATTCAAACGTTTTTGGGACCTAACTTAAGGCATCTAACTTTAAAGGCGGGGCTACAGGATAAAATCATATCCCCCCCACCAGGCCCAAAGACAAAACCCTAAATACGATACGCTGCATGACATTGAAAAGGGCATGTACCAGTTGCCCTCATATGATGTTAATATATACACGATTACAATATATAGCCCGTAAAATAACTAATAATAAAATGGCTTCACTTAATTTTCGGTTATTATAATTATATATTTTTTATTATGAATTTTTTTTCTATCATTTTATACTATTTTACTTTATTTTTATAAATAATTTTATTTATTATTTGTATATTTACCTCCCCTATTTTACGGGCTATATATTGTAATCGTATATATAATAACATGCGAGGGAAACTGGTATATTTTTGAATCCCGATAACATCCGTGGGGGGCAACTGGTCAACCCATTGAAAAATATCCAAACATTTTATCACCTACTAAAAATACAGGTGTTTGTTAAATTTTAACAGATACTTATCAACTGGGACACATTTCGCTGCGTTGCATTTTGACTTTCGTATTGGAAAAAGTACAATAAACGGAATTGTAAGAGAGACATGTCAGGTTTTATGGTCGATTCTACAACCCACAGAAATGTCAAAACCAAATAAAGATAAGTGGATAGATATTTCTAAAACTTTTTATTCAAAAACCAATTTTCCAAACTGTCTTGGAGCTATAGATGGTAAGCACATCAGATGCAAAAATCCAGAAAACTCCGGCTCTCTGTTCTACAACTATAAAAAATATTTTTCAATAGTATTAATGGCAGTGGTCGATGCTAATTTAAATTTCATATACATAGACATAGACGCATATGGTCGTGAAGCCGATTCTAGCGTTTTTCGTCAGAGTATATTTGGAAAAATGTTATACTCGCAACAACTTCAAATTCCGGACCCAGACGCATTGCCTTTAACTGAAAACAATATTCAACCATTTGTTTTTGTTGCTGATGAAGCGTTTGGTCTTCACGCAAATCTGTTACGACCATTTCCAGGTCGTGGACTTAATAATACTCGTCGGGTGTTTAACTACAGGTTATCGAGGGCAAGACGTACAGTCGAATGTGCTTTCGGAGTTTTGGCCAATAAATGGCGAGTTTTGCACACAACGATTTTAGTGGAACCAAATTTTTGCGATGATATCATAAAAGCATGTTGTGTTCTCCATAATTTTGTTCGAAAGAGGGATGGGTATAATTATGATGAAGAAACTGATGTGCATAATTTGGATAATTTGACAACACGTGGTAGAAATGTTAACAGAAGTGGAATAGACGTAAGAGACAATTTTGCTGATTATTTTATGGCTGATGGAGCTGTACCTTTCCAATACAGAATGCTTTAGAAAAACGTACCTATATATTTGATTTAATATAATATAATGACTTTTTAATTATTTTTTTTGTGTATATGACATCACCATATATTTTAATTTAATTGTATAAATTATATGCATCAAATAATAATTATTTTGTATACTAAAACGTCATATTATAATATAATATTATGATATTTTATTATTATTATTATTATTATTATTATTATATGTACTGTTATTATAACTGAGGTAAAGTATCCAGGTAAATTAACCTATATGTAAAGTATCTAATATCTAAAAAGATACGAATACCTATGTATTAGGTCTATTATTATTTATTTGGAAATTTACTTTTACTATTTTATTCAATAGTATTATTTTATTTATCTATTTATAACTACTTAACTTATTGATAGTAAAAATAGATGATTAATTGTTTTACCTTTTTCTTCTTTTTCAGCAGTTCCTAGGTTCTCCCATTCCAAATAATATACTGCTTCGGCTACTTTCATCCAAGCTGAGATTTTGAGGCCCTTATTCATGTACTCATTAGAGGTCATATCCCAAATACATGGGTAGTTTTGGACCTCAGTTATCAATCTTTCAGTTGAATACATGTTTTTGATTGAAAATATTTTTTAAATATATAAATTTAATAAATACATTTTTAAAAAACTGGTAATTCAAAAAATAACGGCAACCGAAAAACGGTCAGTGTAGACGGTACCGTACAAATGAACGTAATTTTGTGCCAGACGGATCCGCATCGTCGCTACCAAACCGCAACAGCGCGCGGTTTATTTATTTATTAAAGTGTTCACAGTCATTATTTTCTACACTTATAACTATTTGGAAATTTTTTTAAATTTACATAAATGGTGTTATTACTAATCAATTTATGTTTTTTAATTGTTGACCGGAAAAATGTTATAGAAATGTTACGAAAAAAAAAATGCTATATTATATAAATACTAAATACACGGGTGCCAGTTAAAATCGCGAAAAAATAATCGCGAAAGTCAAAATCGCGAACGGTTTTAACAGCGAAAACAATAATAGCGAAAATTAAAATATTCTTTTCGGTATATTTTTCGTAAAAACATTAAAATACGTCAAAATACTATAAAAAATTACAATTTAAATTTGATATTTTTCCTAAAATTGCAATATATAAGTATATAAATTTAAAATATTTGAAAAATTAAATAAATAAATAATAATAAATACAATAAATAATGATTAAATTTGGTACTTTAAATTATAGGCAACACCCCTTAGGTATTCTAGTCTATCCCTATTTTCGTAGTCATTAACTAAATCTTTAAGTGTGTCCCTTTTGCGTTTTTTGGATGGTTCGACCGTGCCCGCTATGTACTGATTTATTTTCATTTCATTTAAGCTCTGTTCCTTTTGAATTCCTTCAATAAATTTCCATATTGTTGGATGACACGAACTCAATAAGTTATTAAAGCCTCTATGCCATCCTTCAACATAATTATTTGTTCTGGGTAAACCAGATATAGTAGATCTAAAGCAGTTCCACAGTGAAATAGGGAATCTGGGATTTCTCCTTCTACGTCTATTTGGACGACCAATCCATGTATCCTCAAAATAGGAAATAAGTGGTTCTAACACATCTTCGTTATTAGTGTAATACGTACTTTCACACAATGTCTCAAATGCGTCAATTACGTCATTTTCCGGAACAAAAGCCAAGGCAGACAAGTAACGGACTTGCAATGAAAACTCTGAGTCTGTTTTATACTTTTCTACCATTCCAGAAATAGTTTGGATTTTTCGCCAAACACATTGTGTTTGATGAAAAAAACAGCCATTTTGTTCAGTATTCGGAAATAGTATTTTAAATGCGTTTAATGAGCTCCGTTCAAAATCAGTCATAATTGTTTTTGGATTTAAATTAATATTATGTGTTTTGATGGCCGAAAACAACCTTTCATACGAACTTTGCGTTTTATCTGGCATTAAAGCGAAAACTACTGGTATTACCAAATTATGCTTTATAACATGTATCGTGTATACTTGTGTAAATAATGGAGGACATGACTTAAAAGTTCCATCTGCAAACCAATGATCAGATTTAGACAGTAAATCTAAATTTTTTTTCGTAGCAAACACTAAAATCCGACTTTCAACTGGTTCAATGTCATTTATTAAAAATGTGCGACCATCAATAGTATGGGAATATTTATCGGGTATGGTTATATCTGTGATAGTAAATGGGTTAGATGGAGCAGAACTATTAATTTGTCGTATTCGACACAAAGTGCGTTTAATATGACTTACTGGAGGGAGAGCTCCGTGAACGGCTTGCGAACACAATGTTGAGGCTTCTGAAACGATCTGATGTGGATTAACTTGAGATGATAGAGCTCGAATTTTCATTTTGTCTATACAAACACGTCGTTCAATTTCTAAATTTGAAATAGTATGGTTATGTTCACTAGGTCCTTTTACAATTTCGTCGTTTTTTAAGTTAAGGCGCGATTTACATAGTTCTTCAGTACATCTCCAATACATGGTATTTTTATATTTTTTGTCAAACCTATATAAATAACTATTAAATTTAAGTAAATTTTTGTTTTTTTGACTTTTAATGTACTCCATTGCGAAAATGTTACGAGTTAATAACTGTACGTACGAATATGGCAACGGTGAACGGACGACTCGGTAATGCGGACTGGTGTGACTGGCGATTTGTACAAAGTACAAAATGACATTGATTATCTAGGTATCATTATTACTATTATTTACTATGACAAAACTTGACAGTTGTTAGGTTCAACCTCGGCTTATCTTTATTAAGTGATCCAAGACGCAAGATTACAAAATTACATTATTGATTATCTATATTACTTATTATATTATAAAGGTATACGCCATACGGTATACCCACTAACGAAAATAATTTTCGCTATTATTGTTTTCGCTGTTGAAACCTTTCGCGATTTTTATTTTCGCTGTTTTTTTTTCGTGATTTTGACTTTCGCGATTTTTTTTTCGCGAATTTCTAAATACACATATTGTATTAAAACAACATAGAGCTGTACCTTTCCAATACAGAATGCTTTAGAAAAACGTACCTATATATTTGATTTAATATAATATAATGACTTTTTAATTATTTTTTTTGTGTATATGACATCACCATATATTTTAATTTAATTGTATAAATTATATGCATCAAATAATAATTATTTTGTATACTAAAACGTCATATTATAATATAATATTATGATATTTTATTATTATTATTATTATTATTATTATTATATGTACTGTTATTATAACTGAGGTAAAGTATCCAGGTAAATTAACCTATATGTAAAGTATCTAATATCTAAAAAGATACGAATACCTATGTATTAGGTCTATTATTATTTATTTGGAAATTTACTTTTACTATTTTATTCAATAGTATTATTTTATTTATCTATTTATAACTACTTAACTTATTGATAGTAAAAATAGATGATTAATTGTTTTACCTTTTTCTTCTTTTTCAGCAGTTCCTAGGTTCTCCCATTCCAAATAATATACTGCTTCGGCTACTTTCATCCAAGCTGAGATTTTGAGGCCCTTATTCATGTACTCATTAGAGGTCATATCCCAAATACATGGGTAGTTTTGGACCTCAGTTATCAATCTTTCAGTTGAATACATGTTTTTGATTGAAAATATTTTTTAAATATATAAATTTAATAAATACATTTTTAAAAAACTGGTAATTCAAAAAATAACGGCAACCGAAAAACGGTCAGTGTAGACGGTACCGTACAAATGAACGTAATTTTGTGCCAGACGGATCCGCATCGTCGCTACCAAACCGCAACAGCGCGCGGTTTATTTATTTATTAAAGTGTTCACAGTCATTATTTTCTACACTTATAACTATTTGGAAATTTTTTTAAATTTACATAAATGGTGTTATTACTAATCAATTTATGTTTTTTAATTGTTGACCGGAAAAATGTTATAGAAATGTTACGAAAAAAAAAATGCTATATTATATAAATACTAAATACACGGGTGCCAGTTAAAATCGCGAAAAAATAATCGCGAAAGTCAAAATCGCGAACGGTTTTAACAGCGAAAACAATAATAGCGAAAATTAAAATATTCTTTTCGGTATATTTTTCGTAAAAACATTAAAATACGTCAAAATACTATAAAAAATTACAATTTAAATTTGATATTTTTCCTAAAATTGCAATATATAAGTATATAAATTTAAAATATTTGAAAAATTAAATAAATAAATAATAATAAATACAATAAATAATGATTAAATTTGGTACTTTAAATTATAGGCAACACCCCTTAGGTATTCTAGTCTATCCCTATTTTCGTAGTCATTAACTAAATCTTTAAGTGTGTCCCTTTTGCGTTTTTTGGATGGTTCGACCGTGCCCGCTATGTACTGATTTATTTTCATTTCATTTAAGCTCTGTTCCTTTTGAATTCCTTCAATAAATTTCCATATTGTTGGATGACACGAACTCAATAAGTTATTAAAGCCTCTATGCCATCCTTCAACATAATTATTTGTTCTGGGTAAACCAGATATAGTAGATCTAAAGCAGTTCCACAGTGAAATAGGGAATCTGGGATTTCTCCTTCTACGTCTATTTGGACGACCAATCCATGTATCCTCAAAATAGGAAATAAGTGGTTCTAACACATCTTCGTTATTAGTGTAATACGTACTTTCACACAATGTCTCAAATGCGTCAATTACGTCATTTTCCGGAACAAAAGCCAAGGCAGACAAGTAACGGACTTGCAATGAAAACTCTGAGTCTGTTTTATACTTTTCTACCATTCCAGAAATAGTTTGGATTTTTCGCCAAACACATTGTGTTTGATGAAAAAAACAGCCATTTTGTTCAGTATTCGGAAATAGTATTTTAAATGCGTTTAATGAGCTCCGTTCAAAATCAGTCATAATTGTTTTTGGATTTAAATTAATATTATGTGTTTTGATGGCCGAAAACAACCTTTCATACGAA